CAAAGCAACATGACAATAAAAGCCATTGTTGGAACATAGTTTTACCAGAATGCTTTGGCTTTTCTATATATATATTAAAAGTTGTTAATCTAACTAATTTTTACCAATAACTATTCTATGGAGATGCCAAGAATTCATTTCACAAATTAATTTACCAATGTTTGAGTGCCTCGACTGCACTTTCCTACCTCTTTGTTAGTTTAAGCTTGATTTTGCAAAAATTGTTTTTTTTCGGTTAGCTATGAAATGTGAGGTTAGAGTATACTATGGGGTGGGGGTGGTAGTACTAGCCCTGTCATTTTTGATGGGCTATAGGCTAGTTACTGTATAAATGTCAGCTAAAGATTGGAGTCATGTTGAACATTGTTTGTTTAAATGCTATTTCTCTGAAGTAATGTTAACTTAATTTTCTATAGATGATAAAGTGGGTAGAGGAATTAGTAATAACCTCTGTAGTTTTTACGGCAAAAAAACGATTACTAATGTTTTTCATTTATTTACATAGTACTGACAATATTGTAACTGATGAGGCAACTCTTGGAAATGGAGAAGAGCAGCATGTAATTATTCAAACAGTACCAGACCTTGGAGATAATTTAACCCAGGAAACCATGAATATTAATCAGGAAGACTTAACAGCCAATTTAATAAGAAGGGTTACTGAAGAAGGAGTGACTATATCAATGGTGGCTGGTGAAAATATTGAAGCAGTGGATACTTTGCCTCATGATGGCCATATTCAACAACCTATTCAAATCGAAGCTATTGGAGAAGATGGAGAGACCCAGAATGTATCTGTGTTGGCTGACAGTTCAGGATCTGTAGAGAGTAATCTTGGCCTTCTTATGTCCATGATGCAGGCCTCTGGCCAAGTCACATCTGTAGAAATCCCCCCTGATCATGTTGATATGTCAAGCTTAGTAGTCAGTAGTGGTTGTCATCTAGATCTCACTAATAATGATACTACTGTAGTCACTGCTACTGATATGAGGGTGGCTTCATCCGTGGTCAATTCATTATCTTCAACAGATGATCATAATGTCCAGCATATGACTATGGCTGATCAAGAGAATGGTCAGTCTATAGTGATGATGGTATCTGGGGATGGTGAAGACTACCAACAACATATTCCAATGGAATTAAGTGGAGAACATCCATTCACAAATGCAGCTGTGGTGAATGTTCCCACTTCAGATGGTGGTTCAAGGATGCTATTAATTCCAATAAACTCAGCTGATGGTCAGAATACTGTTCTTACCCTCCCTAGTGGAATCACTCTTAGTTCTGAAGATACCAATTGTGGAAATGTTAATATGACAGTAACCATGGGGACTCCTAGTACCATGGAAGAACCCAAAGCAGATGATAGTGAACAAACTTATTTGACTCTGCCAATGATGGCAGAAAGTGATGTTGATGGACTTTTAGAGGCAACATCTGACTCCACGTCACAGGGAAGTTTGGTAACAGTTGAACAGTTGGTGATCCCTCCCCCAGACCCTAGTTAGCCATAGTGGTGGTGACCTATCAAACTGCACGTTAACACTGAGTAGTTAGATAACCACTGAGAACTGTGTTGCATTACCTGACTTATTTTATATCTGTTTTTAACCATCAACAGTTAAAGGTTGCTAAAGAAAGAGCTCATTTTTATAGACTCAGCATGCATTTGTACCTTGTTCATTGTTAAAAAAATACATCATTTTGTACAGGCTAGTTTTTTTCTCGTCAAATACCGAAATGTAAGACATTTTTTTCATGCGTTTTGTTTATTTTAATCTGACCTTACAAAGCTTTAGTTGTAAATGTTAGTTTGAACATAAATTTCACTATTGTATCACTTCCGGATGAGCACAAAACCTCAATTTGTCTTTCTTTTGTTTTTTAAAGGTAAAAACATGTTATCATCACTTTCATATATTCTTTGGAAGAATACCTTCAAGTTTTGTAGGACTGACAAATAACAAAGTGTTGTATAAATAAAAGTTGATACATTTCATCTGCATCTTAAGTATTCATAGGTTCATAAAAACTGCCACATTTAAAACATCACCTGTTTATATAACTTTTTATGCAAAATAGGCAAGGAATTTATATAAGATGAATTTTTTCCAACACATTAATAAAACATTAGAATCACTTGTCATGCCCAGTGTTGGGGGTTCTCAAGTTAATATCAGAATTCAACTACTTTTGACACGAGTCCTGCTTATTAGAAATATTTCCAGGTTTAAATATTATACAGGTAAACTACAGCTTCAAAGTTTCTCAAATAACTGTGGATTTCGATTGTGTCATCTTTTTTCATTATATGTAAAAGAAAAAAAAGGTTAAAATTAATGAACTGTCATTGGTATGAAGCTGTGATAAATCTAATTTTCTAAAGTTTGAAATATATATGTCAAGTTTTAAACTGGACTTTAGTTCCAAATTAAGATCAACACAGTAAAATCAGCCTCAGTTGTCCTTAACCCATTGACTGCTGATTTTCTATATAGGGTACAGTCTGCCTCCAGCAGTTGCATGTGAGTGTGCAGTATACAACGTATGGCTTTCAAAAATTCCGTACACGTTTAGAGCAGCCATAGTCAGTGGATTAAATATTACTGTAACACAAGAATAAGTTGCTTTTTTGTTGTTGTTCTTTCCCAAACAAAATGATAAAATATAATATGTTTTTCAGTATTTTAAGAACAGTTTTGGGAAAACTTTGGAACTTCCTCTTTCTTGTATTACTCACAATTTATTGTAAATTTATATTACTGGAATATTAAACATTCCTGTTTGTATGTTTGTTCTAACATTTTTTTTAATGGTGCCTCTATACTTGGTGTTTTATTTTATTAATTAAAATTTTTGGAATGAGTTAGAGTAAAAATTAAAAACAGTATTTAGTTAAAAAGCTAAAATTATGGGAAACTTTTTCTTTTTGAGAAATACCATAATTTTTTGTTGTATTATACAGTAAATAATTCACCAGTTTCTTAGGTAATGGGATTTTAGGTATTTTATGTTATTACTTCTTCATTCCTGTAACTTATGTTGCGACTTGCCTACTCTTTCCATTGATGTTTTAAAAATTACTTCTACTGCATTAAACACTCTTCTGAAGTTTCAGTTGATATTTTGGGGGCATGTCAGTCTAACCCAAAGAGAATACTCAAGAGTTTTGCCCCTATTTTTTTTTCAAAATGTAGCTGTTTGGTGAATGATGAAAAATCACATGACTTTTCTGAAATGGTACCATGATTGTACACAGTCTACAGTGTCAGGAAATATTTTCACAGGGATTTGGTGAACAAACGACTTAATGATTTGTGTTATAAAGAAATTATATAAATTTGATATTTGGCATTTGATTTTTTTTGGATGTTAGCTAAAGCTTTAATGAAATAAGTCTTAACAACGCACCCAAAAATAATATTAACTGAATAATTTTTAATGAATATCAAACCAAGAGTCAAATGGAATTCTGAAGAAGAGGTAGAGCACCACTACTTTACATTTGGATGTGATTTAAGCTGTGGATGTAAATTATGTATAGTATGGATAGATGTCATTGTACTAGCACTTGGGGAAAATAAACTCAACTCTTGATATGCCTGTATTCTAGCTGTGATGTAAAGCTACGTAATCGATTGAAAGTTAATAAACATTGTTTTTGTTTTAATCATTAGTAAATAAATAACAACTGTTACCTCAAAATTGTTATTTGTAATCACTGGGAAATCACAAAATACATCATACAGAAGGTTCAACTGTACTTTTGCAGGAACTATGTTGTAGGTCTCGACCATTGAGGGCCAAGTATAACTCAGTGGTTAGTGTGCCATCTTAGGTTCCATGGTTTTTAGGCTATAGCCCCTTACCACCAAAAATGTAAATCACGTTCCACACTTTCGAGTCATGGGTGCATTAAAAGAGTGACAGACAAATCCCATTATTTGATTAAAGTAGCTCAAAAGTTGACAGTGGGTAGTATTGACTAGCTGCCTTCCTTCTAGTGTATTACTTTGAAATTAGGGACAGTAGTCCTCAAATAGCTTTGCTTGAAATTCAACAAAGAACATTGACCTTGGAACTGTTAATCTCATGGCCATGATTAACTACTGTTGCCAAACTCAGAAGAGTCCACTATATTCATCAGCTACTGGGAAGGATGTCAAGATCAATTTTTAACCACACATTTACACAAACATGCTACGATATATGACTCAGTTTCCAAAACCGCATTTAAGCAAATGAAAGTGCACAGAAGATCATGGTTGCATGTGCAGTCAGGTGACTTCAAGGGTATTTTGGAAAATGAAATATCTGAACACCAGTTTCATTTACAATGGTTTGTAAAAAATGCAATGTAGAATGTAGATAAGAGACTTGATATAACTATAACTTCTGGGTAGAGCTGGACTCGAAAATACTGAGAAATCAATGGTAATATCTTGATTAATTGGATAGATGGAATAATTAAAGTTTTGAAAATGGTAATAATTGAAAATACTACATTTGATTAGTAGATTGTTTTTGTTACATTAATTGATTAGTTCATGTGATGCTAATCAATAAAATTGATGCTCATAGGTAATTGAGTTAAATCGCACAGCTCTACTGTGGCATCATCACCATACGGGAATTTCATATTACATAATTGTTGTCAGTACACTCTTTATATTAACCAGAATTCATCTTTGCCTTAATGAGCATTTCATATAGTTTAAGTTTCTCATTATGTTGGAAACATGTAGTCACTATAAACCTGAACAAAAAAACTTCCTTTACATTTTTTTAACTATGTTGAAAAGCCTTATCACATTGTCATTCAGGAGTAAACTACCCATTTCCTGTTGTAGATGTTTAAGAACACCCAGGTCTCATCCAATGTTTCGTTAAGCTTTCATCTCTTGTTTGGAGAAAATCAAGTTGACTCCTTAAAAACTGTCTCAAAAAATCCAAGTCATTATTTGACAAAAGCCTTGTATGTGTGTTGCCAACTTATTACTGGTGAACAGATGGACCAATTGTTGCCATACCTGGCGTGTACCTTTATCACCACCTTTATGTCTTCTCTGTGAATTGGACAGGTGTTTGAGCTAGTAATATATTAAATGCACTGCTTTTAAGTTAGTTTGTTTTTATATTTAAAAATAAAACTAGAGAAACTTATGCACTCATGGTTTGTGTCTTTTTTTTTTTCTTACAAGGGCAAGATCTTGTGAATTACCTAGTGCACAGTTTATTTGGATATGTGCTTTTGTTTAGAGGAGTTTTTGAATAACCAGTATGTGAACTTTGACAATTAATATTAAGTTTGATTATAGCTAGCTATCTACATAGATAAGAACTAAAAACTAACTCAGTGATGAATATAACTAATTGAATATACTGACTTTACATTCTGATTTACAATGACTGGTATGCATTGTTTCATCAGTTGGGTTCCCTTGTTGTTAGTGATATTTTTGGCAGTAATCCTAAAAATATTTCACGAGGTCAGAACAGCTTAAAAACTTCAGGTTAGCCGTAGATCCGTGTACTAAGTTAACAATGTAAAGTAATATTTGTAATAATAATGAATTAAAATTTACAAATATTCTACTATCAATAGAAGTAACATTACAGAAAGAATAAAGTATACTTTGTATATTGAACAGATACAATAGTTGTTGGCTTTAAGTACTATTGTAGATTTAATGTAACATCAGTATGAGCAAAACTTTCCAAAATCTGCCCTAAAAAAAGTATTATGAGCAATGAAAAACCTGTTAGACAGATTCGTACGTTAAACAGAAACGTACAGTACGTCAGACAGAAAACAAGTAGGAATAGAAACGTCGAAGTTACGTCTTAACGAGTCAAGCTGTGTATATTTGTTTGCTTGAAGTTGGGCAATCTGTGCTCTGCCCACCACGGCTATCGAATCACATAGTGGCGGTATTTGAATATGTTTCTGTTTTGGTTGTAGATGCCATAACAAACTAAGCTACCGCGTCTCGAATATCGAAACTTACTGTTATCACGTCTTTGGTGATTAAGAAAAAAGTTTATCAAAAACATTGTCTATATTTAAAACAATTATATAGCAACGAAGGTTGTTGTTTTTAATCAGTACAAACAAGGATAAAATTTGTATACAAGAAAATTTTTATTTCTCTTGAAAAAGTTCGAATAATTATTAGATAAATGCTACTAAATCGACTATGAATATTTTCCAGACTTTAGATCTGTTGCCTGGACAGTAGAGTTTGTTTTGTTTTGTTGAACTTCGCGCAAAGCTACATGAGGACTATCTGCGTTAGCCGTCCTTAATTTCGAAATGATAAAATAAGGGGAAGACGGCTAGTCGACGCGACCAACTATTGGGCTATTCTTATCATAACGAAATGAGGGGTTTGATCGTCACTCCTACGACCCCAAAGTGTGAAGCGCGATCTTTTGTTTAGCGGAATTCGAACCAAGGAACCTCGCATCCACAGACCGGCACGCTAATCACTCATCCGTGCTTGGCTCAGATTGTAGAGTAACAACTTGATGCTGTAATTACCGTATTCATGCGTAATGCTTCCTGGAAACGTTAGCAGAGAATCACATGCCATTATTTACGTTATCTCGTAATATACTGCCTCCTTTCAAGAAGAACAAGAACTGTTGGTGCTTATTTACTATATTACGCAATCTTTAAACATGGAGTTACAAGCCAAGTTCTCTACCAGTCATTCCAAAAACTCGAATGCGAAAAAATAAAAACCCGTTAGTTCTGGTTAAGTATGTCTATCTGCCAGGTATAAGTGCACTCTGATTTACTACACAACTAAATAATCTATATTTACTTCGGCTTTCTTCCAAATAAAAACGGCATCTGCCCAAATTTTAATATGCTGTTGACAGGTAAGCCTCGTATAAATGTTTGTTGGTTAAAGCGAATCAGACATGGTTGTTATATTAATTTATTACCAACTTATTTACACAATCAGAGAGAAATATCACATTTGTACAGTTT